AGCCACATTTTAGGTACATCAGAGCCTGGTAGAATCCACAAACATGAATGTGTCCTTGTGCAATACAAAAGCAAAGATGGATGTCTCAGACTACAATCCATAAGAGACAGCCTCTTTAAATCACCTTCAAACTTACTTACTTCTTCACAATCTTTTTAATCATATATTGAAATCTCATTTCATTTTTGTAAGGGTGGTAGATTAAATTAAAAAAATTACTTCTAATGGTCATAACCTCATGAAAATTTAGACGCATTTGAATATTGCAGATGGAGATTCTAAGACCAAAGCTGGTTTTCTGTTGGTGTTGTTGATCTCTTAACCCTGTTCAGATGCAGGGTGACTGTTTTTAACTTGAATAAAGTAACATGAAGTTATTAAGCCAGTCATGCAAGATCATATAACACCTATGTGGCAGATAGGCACTGCTTCTTCCAGTGCCACACATACTGTTCCTGACTAAAATCATCCTATTGGTATCAACAGCATAATTCTCTCCTCCTGCTGACAAAAAACACTTGCACAGGATTAGCTGTTCCACATCACTGTGGAAACCATGGAGGACTGATTCAGGCAGTCATTTTGCATTTAGTGTAATGTGGGTTATAAAGTAGTGATGGCTTTGTCATCCCTTCCTGTCATTAGGGCTTCATTACATGTTTCCAAGTGACCCAAGAAGTGTCAAATTCTACTTAAGCAAGTGACCAGAAAAGCATCTGGTAGAAAAAAAGGAAAAAATAAATTATTATCTGTTTTTAATTGCTGTGTATAAACATCTTATATACTTGAAAAGGAACAGAGTGCTATTATTTCAAAGTTCAAAATAAATTTTCTTTCTTTTAGTAAGCTCTCAAGAGAGCACTTTCAGTCATGACTGTTAGTTTCCTTTGTCAAACCTGGCACTTCAGAGCTGAATTGTTTCCAAAGAAAGCACTGCTGCAAGACACAGAAAGCAGTCAAGAGACATACTGGTGCTGAAGGGCAGAACAAGGCTCTTTGCATCTCCCACACCGGAGTTTACCCTCTGAGCAATACTCGGAAGCCTGGGTGTCAGACAAAGCTGTTGCATCCCTTACAGACTGTGTGCCTAGCTCTTTCCCATTCCCCATCACGAGAAATACATTGATTTTGTGTGATGGAAGTTTAAAGCAATTGATGTACTGCTTGACAGCTGAAGTATAAATGTTTTCACAGCAAAAATTGTCCATTGCTATGATCTGTGTTATTATTGCAAGCAGTAGCTTCAGAGCATTTTTGTATGAACGTGGCATCGCACGTGGAGCTGCGTGTTTTGCATGGTTGAGCAGTTCTTTTAATGTTTTCAGTCTGCTCTTAAAAGTGTTGACTAGGAACAGATCTGAACAATTGGAAAGAAAGTAATCTGCTCTTGTTGATCTCAGAAATGGCCACTTAAAAGACATCCTTGCTCCCAGGAATTGCCACATACAGAACTCAGAATCATTCCCATCCTAGAGTTTGACCCAAAGTAAAATAGGAAATCTTAACAAGCAACTTTACTGCAGACTTAGGTAACTGTTTAAAAATGTAACATTTCATCTGTCCTTCTAGTAACACTAGAATCTTTGGTTATTGAGTGATACCAATCTACAGAGCATCCCTTGTAAAAAGTTACTGTCTCAGAACGTATCTTCAACACCTGTATCATCTACATGAAAACATCAGGTTTGGGAAGATAAATTTTGGTCAGAGGAAAAAAAGAATCAAGTTTGTACAGGAATTTCCCTGAAGCTGGGAAGTAATGCATATTGGGATCACACCATATGTAATATAACCTCTAATATGATAAAATCATCCTCATCTTAGTCAAGTTAGTCCTGTTGTGGGACCAACAGCATGAAAGAGGCTAATAGTTTTATATTTAAAAAGAATTGCAAATATATTTCTGATCCTTCATGATGAAGTCAAACCCCTTCACATGAGGAATTTAACTTGACACTTGTATTAAGAACCTAGACCCTGTGTAGCTCCTGGAGAGAACGAAGTTCTTAAGTCGGGTACATCAAATTGTCAGCACATACATAACAGGCAGATTTTTAATGATCTGTTTAATAGTTTGACCAAAAAAATGTTTTGACATAAATTTTTTTCATTTGGTTCTTTCCACAGAAAGCACATTAAGAAAAACGAAATCTGCAACATTTGTCATCCTTTATATTTCATATAACCAAGAATAAATAATTCTTTCCAGGTCTTGACTTCCACTTTAAAGGTCTTAGTCACCAAATTTTTAGAGTAATTCAAAGTTTGGGGTATATAGGCCAAGTTTAAACTGCTGATTTCAGACATTGTCTTTATGTAAGTATCTTAACTCATCTTTCAGTGCTGGGCAGTCTGCATTACCCAGCTCCTCTGCTGAAGACAGAAGACAGCTGAAGTGGCTGCTTTGAATGCTTAAGATGGTCAGTGTTTATTTTCTAATACCTGTTACCACAACTTCCTCTGTTTTATTGTGGCATGATCCCATTTGGGTTTAGGTCTCTAAAGGACAAACTTCCACAAAATGTCAGTGGCTTTAATTCTTTGTTATTTCAGTAGTGGATTTTCAAGTGTGGCTACTTATATTCTCTCACTGTGTTAGCTGGAAGTTATTCCTTTAATGCTTTCACCATTCATTCATCACTTTATTGCCTGTTTCACACCATGTAGCACAGAGGTTAGAAAGCACCAAATAATTTCATTTTTTTTAACACAGTAACTTCCAGATCTTTATCACTAGTCACATTATGTTCAAATTAAGAAAATGCATTTTTAAGCTGCTTGTTTTCTCCTTTTATAGCATTTCAGAACGACTGTTTTATAGACGTTACTAAATAAGAAATTTAAGAAACTCTTTCAAAGTGAAATAAAGGCTTCATTTAAAACTTGGTAGCATGAATCTGTATAGCTGCACTTGCTATAGCACTGGCTCACATTTAATTCAACATGACCATCTCCTCTCAGCCAGGTATACACTTTCCAATCCAGACTTCATGCTAGCCTAAACAAGTGTACTGTTGCAGCTTTCCTGCAGGGTTACTTCAGCACTAACTGCAGCTGAGGGACGCAGGGGTTTCATTTGGCCTAAGGTGTTTAGACTAATAATTTAATAGCTTCCCTTACAAAATTAAAAGGGGATTGAAAAATATTCAAAATAGCATTCTGAATACTTGTGGCTTGACAGGTCTTATTTATGCTTTTTACATACATACTATGAAACCAGTATTATCGAAAATCTTAATATCACCATTAGGAGGCACAGCAGTGAATGTATTTGACCCACAGGATTTTCCTCCTTTACTTTCCCCTCTCTCCAAGAGCCTCAAGCCCTCCCACCCTCTCTGAAGCACAGCAGGCACTTCCCACAAGTGAGGCAGCAGCAGGTCACTCATACACCAATCGCTGCTCCACAAAGCTTCCCTTATTTACTGCTGAGTGTTGAGGGGGCCTGAGAACACTGGGCTATCATGTCCCTTTTGTGACTGGAGAATCAAGCAATGGCAGGATGCAGGAGCAGCACAGGACTTCTCTGTGCCAGTATATTGAGGCGGTGATAGTTAAAAGAGATGGCTGTGCAGGCACAATGCTGGAACACAGCTTTGTCTAGCCCTGCAGGCTCTCTGAGCCTCTCCATTTAGTCCCGACACACAAAGAATATGCTCTGTTCACCTCTGCAATTCAGATGGGGCCCTCGACATCACCGGTCTAACAAAGCCAAGAGGTTACCCCAGCCTAACAGTCTGTCTCAGCAGTATGCACAAGCAATCCTTGTTCCTTTTTGAACAAAAATTTTGGGAGACCTATTTGTGATCCCAAATTTAAATTCTACCCTCAGAACGTACAATGATGCCCATCAGAATCGCTTGGCTGGTTCCATTCATGCTTATTCATTGAGGTGGCCGGGTGCCCATTCACATGGTACCAGACTATTTTCACTGTGTTGAATTGCCAAGAAGAACAGGTTTAGAAGAATAATCTGCACAGTGTTCAAGCTCCTGCTCTTCTGGAGAAAGCTTTTCTTTTCCAGTACTTTATTAACACTACATATCTATTTAGTCTAAGAGCTTTTGACAAGTTACAGTTCTCAAAAAACATTGCTAGAAATTACAGACTGACCTGAGTCACAGAAATGCTGCATTGCCCAAATAGCACAAGTAATAATATCAGAGGGATTTCAAAGAGACAATGACAAGCCTATTCTTTTTGTGAGATCCCCACCTTTATTTCACAAGGCTTTTGTAAGCACTCCAATCTGAAAACGTAACCTACAATGCCTAAACAACAGGCTCCATCCCAAAAGGTGCAATGCAAACCCCGTCTCATATGGTAACAAAGAGCACCTCAAATACAGCTCCCAATAGATTCTATGTCTACTCCAGAACTATGAAGTTCATTGCAGATTCTAGCACTGTAACTGAATGGATTTATGGGCACATTAGTTGCAAGTGTTTCACAGCTACAGAAACAGCAATGCTGCCTGACTGCACTGGGGCAGTGACAAACAAGGTTTTCTCCACAATACATTATGCAGGTAGGAAAAGGGTAAATCATTTACCTTGCAGTCAAGCTGTTGCACAGTTCTAAGCTTAACTGGCATGATTAGCTTTTGTGCTTTTTTCCTCATACCCACTCTCAGTCTCACTACAGGAGGGAGAAGAAACTCCCCTCACTTATTCTTAGGTTATTACTCAAAAAGAAACCTTGGCCATTACAGCCACCAACAATGGCTTTCCTGGACCTCCTCAGGAACCACTATGGCTTTCCTAAACTTTCATGAGGTCAGACTCAAGATGTGCAGTTAATTGTAAGCGTACACGCTGACAGCCCAGACACCAGGACTTCTGTTCAGAAAAATTTAAGTAGAACATTCCAAAACAGTACAGCTATAAATGCAGGCACTGCAAATGTGTATATCACTGTAGAAAAGAGACCATCGCCAGATCAAGCAAACTGTGTACTCACTACACATGATAAAAACAAGAAAAAAAAGCTACAAGATCAACTTCGTTATAGATGAATATTTACCAACGGTTTTTATTGGTCTCAAAATGTATGTATACATGGACAGTTTCCATATTGACATACAATTTTCTACTTACACAGAAGCTTGCTGAATTACAATGTGTTATTTTATCCATAATCATTCCTATAGGCTTTTTCTTGGATGCGTAACACCATTCTCCGAGCATAAAAATCCCTGTATTCGTCAGGTAGTTCTTCAAGTGTTTTCAAGGCCCTGTCCAAGATCTGTATAGCTCTAGAGGCTGCCATGGGATCTTTATTTCCATAAGTGTCTGTCTTATCATAGGATTCAGCAGGAAGGTGCTTCCAAAAGACATTCAGTGCCACTCCAAATTCCTCAGAAATTACATTGTGGAACCACAAAGCTGCAGAAAGAAGAATGTCTAAAATAAAAATTACTATCCAAAACTTCCATGTGACTCATAACAAGTGTCAGAATCACCCAAACTAGTTGAGGAAGAGCCTGAACTACCATATTTTTTGTTTGTTTATAAATATTTATCCCTGAATATATTGCATTGTACCAAATTTAAGAAGTTCCTCAAGATGTTTACATCAATCCATAACTTCACATGAAAGCAACACTTGCTGAAGTATAGAGATACTCAAAGGTAAGCAAATGATAAGCATGTGTGGGATGAAGGTAAGACTTTGTCAGCAACCTGGAATGCATGTCACTGGAAAAAGATGCTTTTTGAGAAACGTGTGTGGTTATTATGAAGTCAGGAGCAGCCCCTCTTCCGAACCTGCTAACACAGCAACAGTGTGACACACCATTATCGAAGTGTAACCAAAAGTTTCTTTAGGAAGAGAAACAAATGGTAAGTTCAAAACTAAGTAACAAGTCCAAGGCTAAAAAACTATTTTAAAATAACTTCCTAAAAACCTACAGCCTTTTTGTTTACTGACCTGTTTATATTGCCCAGATAATATAAAAGCAACAGAGTAAGTATCTGCCGCAAGCTCATGAAGAGTTAAAATAAAATCAGAAACAAGCAGGAGTAGTTCAATAGGAGTAATTCAAATGCCTTTCCCTGATTACCAGAATTTGTCATCTCAGCCCAGGAAGCAGCTTTCTATTTTCTGCTTGTTCAGAAAAGTCATAAGGACTTGTCTTTCCATTCCCCAGAGAGGATTAGAAATTTCTAGAAGGTCCAGTAACTCTACTATCCAAAATTCTCATCAGATCACACGCTTCAGGGTGCCAGAGCTACAGAAGAACAGAAATGGTACTTTACTCAAATCTTGTCATTGGGAAACTCAAGTCACTGAAGTAATTTCAGATTTCACAAGGTGAGTTTATTATATTCATCTACTAAGACACAAATTCAGAAGCACAAAGTTTAAACTTGAGGAACAGTATGATTTGTAGGTAGGTATAATAATAGCTTTTATCAGAGTAATTGTACACTGGGAAGTAGACAAGTTTTGCCAACATTTTCACAGAACACTTAAACATAGAAATGCTTTAGTAACCTCTTACCATCTCTAGAAATGAAAAATTAGAAACAAGACTGTTTAACAACATGCCACGTTCAGGAACCATTTGTTACTTACCTGGAATAAATAACACATCTCCAGCTTCCAGAAGACATTGATAGCGCTTGGCTTTCACAAAAAGGGGATATTTCTCCATGTCTGGGTTATCCACATCCAGCACCTCTGATTTAGTACCTAGGAAAATTTTCAGTGAATAAATATTCCTACTCTTCCAACAGTAACAAAGCATCATCATACTGCTGGAAATGGCAGTTCTTGAATCAAATTTAATACTGGTTTATTGTTCTGTAAGTCTTCTAAAAAACAGGGAAACCTGATGGCAGTGTTGTCTACATTTGTCCTGTGACTGCAACCTTATCAACATTAAAAAACACTTCTCCCGACATTTAAAACACCATTTTGAGCCCAGACAGAACACTGTAACTCCTCCAGTTAGCTGCTGAAAACAATCAGGCAAAGCTGCTGTTCTCAGCTTTGACTAAAGCCAACAGGATTAGAGTTAAGGGAACAAGTTACTTTTTTTATATCAAGTCCTATGTTAGTGATTATTTTCTACAGTGCAACACCTGTGAGCCACAAGGCAACTAAGATCACCAAACTGACCTAGATACCTATGACATGCGTACCTGATAAATATAAATATGGTGCATCTCGAGGACTGTACAAAACAACTCTTTTTTTCCCTGTGACTTGGATTAAGAAGTTATCCATTACCTGGAATAAGCATAATAAGAGAGATGTCAGCCAAAAGTTAAGAGTGAATACATAGGATTAAGCTAATTAATTATTAGCTTAAAAGAGGGAATTATTAAAACCTTCCCATGTTAAGAGTTAGCTACAAGAGCTTCCACATACAGTTAATTTAAAAAAATTAAAATTTTGAGTAACTTTATCCCCTTGACTGCACATTCTTGACAAATAGTGTGTCCAGAGACATAGTATTGCTTTCCAACTATCTTGTGTTTTTCCTGAAACCAAGAATCAAGTTCTTCCATCTTAAAACACAAAGACATACCATACTTTAGACACATAAACCACCAAGATATAATACAAAATATATTATGGATTCCTTTTCTCTTTCAATGTTACCCTTACCTCATTTTTTGGACTGACTTTCTATTGATAAAGATCCTTTTTCCTAATTATAAGGCAAAAACTATTTTTCTTATAAATAAATTTATTCAGAATTCACTGCACAATGTTATAAGAAAATCTTATTTGGAATCTATTGCATTGCAGCCACAAATTACTACAATCATTGTACAACTGGCAATGTGTTGTACAGTTGGATTTTATTCTAATATGGCCATTAGAGTAAAAAAAAAGAATGTAATGTTGAAGACAAAAATGTTGAAAGTTACTGTGTTTCAGATTTTTAACTGAAACTCAAAACAGTAAAAAAAAAAAAGAACACAATAAAACGTCATTTAATCTCACAAATATGGAATTAGACATAAGCCCAGTTAAGATATTATGCCCACGCAATACATCTATTTAAAATTCACTGTACCACTGAATGTGATTCATTTCACTATTTCAAAATATGTGAAGCCTGTTATGATTCTCTGATCTTTGTCAGAGATTTGCACCTTATTATCTCAACTCTGTAATGCCATCTGCAACATTTTATGCTAAATTTGTGTATTACCTACATCATAATGTGTCCATAACTGTAATCCAGCTGAGCTGATGCGGAAGACACTAGAGAAGAACTGTTCCTTCTCAAAATACTCTGGAATTTGAACATCTTTTGCCAAAACAGGAAACTGCTTCCTGATATCTGCAATATCCTGAAACAGAAAGACAATAACTCTTAGAGAACCACATATGCACATTTAAATGAGGGAGCACTTCACTATCTTTTCCCATCATATGAAACATGGGGCTGGAACTTCAGCATTGGTGAATACCTGAACATAGCAATGCTCTTCAGCAATGACACTAACAAGAACAGCCAGAGAGCTGCTTTGAACTGCTAGAAATCACACTGAAGAAGCATGAGATCAGCAGAAATCCTTTTATATTAGTTTACAACAAAAGCTAAAGAAAGAGAGGTTAGCCATGTATTCTTCAGTGATCAGCGAAGCTCTCATATAACAACAACTAGCTTAGACACTTAGATTTAAATATTCTGACCTATGTTGTGTGTCTGCGTTACACACCCAGCAGATGACAATGGGCTTTAAAAAAATATTCCTAAACTGCAACTTTACAATATAGGAACTAATCTCAAATAACTCACCTTCCTAGCATCTTCACCCACTGATCGCAAATAGTACTTTTCATCCTGAAGAGAACACAAAAAGAGAATTGGCTTTGTTTTTTTAGTAAGAAATGCAAACACTTAAAGAGCCTGTATTTTCTCATTAATCTAATGCAGAGCTTCATTAAAATATGGTACAAATAAATGGCATCTACAAATTCAGCTGCTTTGTTATACTGCCTTTACTCTACTGATCCCTACTGTTCATCTCAAGAAATGGGAAAATACATCAACTGAGAGCAGAAGAGTAAAAAGGGAGAGACTTGTCAACTGCTTCAGCATTGCTGTTACTGAACAGCCTCAAAGCAAATGCAGATTATATTTTAAGTTCCTCAGAACACTGATGCAGGCAGCTATTTTAATTGGCTTCAAAACTTAGAGCATTCTATGTAGCACAGAAGGTAAAAAGCATGTCTACCTTCAAAACTGTTTGCTTCCTAATCACAGCTACCTGAAAAATCCCTAGCCTGAACATTGATATGTAAAGATAGCCACACATTTGCTACTCACAAATCATGTCACAAAAAATCTGGATTTGTATTTTGATAGCAGATGTTATCAAACTCTAAAATATCTTCATGACATTTTCTTGTGAAACATGCAAATGATACAGTTGTTATTTTAAAACAAGGTTTGATTTCTAAATTTTACACTGGAATTTTTACTCACGAATGCAGTTTTTGTTAACAGAAACTGGCCGGTTCAAGTTAACCACACCATGCACATACAAAACAACTCACAATTTTTCCCTTGGCTCCAAGCCGCAAAAAAGTTACATCTAAGATCAAGTGGTTTACTGAAGTAAACTTTTAAATTACAATTCATCATTTTCCTTTCCATATACCGGCAAAATAACTGACAGAAAAAACTGTGACACCAAAGAAATTACCTCAGAAAGAAAGTACTCCTGGTGGTTGACTTCAGCTGCTCTTCGTACAAATATATCAAAAGGCAGAGTTCTGAAATATAAATATTTAAATTTATACCATGAATCAATGTAACAACTCATGGTGTAAATGCTTGGTTTATAATAAGCTCCATATAAAAGTAAGACCATATAAAGTAAGACAAAAGATGGAATGGGCTGCTCTTTTACTTTTTTAACTTAACATGGTGACTAATCAGTGTTTGCAGCAGATATTTGAAGAGTTCTATTGAGACAGAAATCCTACACTTAAAAACGTCTCCACTCCAGTAAATTGTAAATATCCAAACAGAATCCTGTAATTGCTGAGGCTGGAAGGTACCTCTGGAGATCCTCCATTCCAACCCCCTTGCCAAAAGCAGGATCAACTATAGCAGCTTGCCCAGGACAGCATCCAGCATGGTTTTGCACATTTCCAAGGATGGACCCTCCATAAGCTCTCTAGGCAACCTGTTTCATTTGTTCCATTGTTTGACCACCCTTGCAGTAAAAGATGGGGGAAGTGTGTTCAGCAGATTAACAGAATTTGCTGTATTTCATCTTGTGCCCATTGCCTCTTGTCCTGTCACCATGAACCAGGAGAAGAATAGAGCTCCATCTTTACTCCCTCCATCAACTATTTATACACTTTGGAAGGATCCCTCTTGAGCTTAGGAGTTCTGAATGGTTTGAGTCACAGCTGAAATTTCTTTCCAGTCAAATTAAGAGTCAAACTGTGGCCAAAGCCTGGCAATACTTGCTTAGACTGTTTCTATAAGTGTGTCATTTTTAGGCTTGTTTACTGTACACTTTCATAAATTTGCAGAAAAGTTCAGCATCAAGAAAACTACTGCAGGGAACATACACATGTTTATATCTATGCATTTTCTGCTAAGAATTTGTGCATGAACACAGATAATTATCTTCATTTGTAGATCTATAAAATTTATTTCAGTTATCTGAAGTTTTTTTAAATATGTGCTTCTCCAGCTAAGCAAAACACAGCATTTTTTATATTTTCAAGTGTTTCTTTAAACTTTCACTAAACTCAACTTCAGAAGATTCAAAAGGAATCACTGGGCATCAGAGCTGGTCCCTCTGAGGTCAATACAAGTGTTACATATTTATTTAGATAATGGAAGCTTTTCATACAGATTACAGATTTTGGTATCAGTTGACAGCTGAATGGCAAACCAAGCACAAGCAGTAACGGGACATATATTCACTGTTACGAATATTATGAGTTCAATATTACATTTACTCAGCTCAGCATCTCACATTAGGTATTACTGGATAATAAATTATTGAATATAAATACCACATTTCAGAACAACCTCCAAGTACCCAAGGTTAAGAAGAAACTACCCTCAAGCAAAATTTTTCTTGATCCTGTTATCCCTTCTACCAGAATGTGAACATTCATCAGACAGTACTTAGACCAATTCTCTAAACTTTAGGCTTGTTTGTAACAGGCAAATACAACCACTGAAGTCAATGGAAAACCAAACAAGAACCAATGCTCTGAGTTCAGCTAGACTGTTGTATCACGCCCATTTACATTTGCTACTGAAGAAAGTGAGAGCACAGCTCCACGACAGCTTAAACTGATGCATGCTGGTGCTGCCACAGCTCTGTCCTTGCTGTCTACCCTTATCACCCCATCTCCTCCCCTACAGCAGCATTGGCACTCATCTGACCTCACAGTGAACCTGCTTGCAAAGCTAAAACAGCAGAAAAACATTCAGACTTCTGCAGCACATCACAACCTGGCTGAATGAGTTCCAGAACCAACACAAAGACAGGGGTAGGAGCATGCAACTTACAACAGGACTGCAGTACTACTCACATGCATCAGTTTAAACTCGTGGAACTGCATGTTAGGTCCTCAGTGTTTCTGTTGTTTTGGTACTACTTATTCTCCCTTCAGATTAGAATGAGGGGCTTGCTATGGAAAGGGTCAAAGCTTCCTGAATTTCAAGTGAAGTAGGTGGAAGTCCTGACACCTGCTATACTGAAGCACCATCAGAGTATGGCTGTCTACAAACCTGCTAAAAGTAGCACGCTGGGTCAACTAGATGTGAACTCACAGTAAGTGAGATTATTTAAAAAAAAAGGAACAAAACAGAGCGTGGAAAATAAAATACGGAGATAAGGCAAAGTCATTCAAGTACAATCTAACCTTAAAGATTCAAAAGTTCATTATGCAGTGAACAGAATGTACCATAATTGTTATGTGCTTTTTCCCCTAGAACAACAGGCTCCACTCAAAGACTTGTAGCTTGTTTACACTTATAGTGTATGCTTCCACCTGCTTAAAAGTTTAACAGACTGAACACATCCTGTTCCCACTTGGGGTAAACAAACAAGAGCTGAAATAAAGGCATTTGCCCTTGAAAACCAAGAGGAACTTCAGAGGAGAGCAAGGTGTTTTGTGACCTGCATCAAGATTAAAGAGCTGGTGAAACGTGCAGTATCCAGCAGTTCTAACATTCTGAGAACTGCACATCCTAACTTTGAAAGGAGCTTGGCTTTAATTAGCTACACCCCTCCTAGAGTGGAATACCCTGCCTGTCACACACCAGCATTCAAAGAGGTCCAGACACATGTTGAGGCAGAAACTACCACTATTCAGTAACATTGAAAACAGACCATGTAAGTAGAATAAAATAGTATATCATCCAGTATCAAGGGTGTCTTGGTTTGCTTTTTTCATTAATGGCAGCAACTGCCAGGCTTAAATTTCTTAGAGGAGTGCTCTGTCAAAATACCTTTATAACACTACTCCATGACATCTCTTTTAAGGTGCTGTTTGGCCCCTCATTTCACCCTCATAGTGTTAAATTCAGGGCATAAAGATATTTGTAGAATGAGTAGAAGAGGGAGAAATCAAGGACAGCACTTTGATACGTAATTTAATGTTTTCACTATCTTCATATTCTCACCCTCAGCTTCAGGTGGATGCACTGTATGTCTGCAAGTTACAAGCACACGCCTTTAAAACACAAGAGGCCTTGGAGTGCAGTACCTATACACAAAGTTCTTACTGAGGAAATCCATCTGTGGCACTGTAGAAACATGAATCTTTACTTCTTTAGATCCTTCAGCTTGGCTCAAGTAATCTACTGTCCATTTGGTTGTGCAAGGGCCCAGTTCCATTCCTGTCAGAACTACTGGCTTTCTCTAAGGAACAAACCAAAAAGAAATGTCAATGGTGAAACGATCATAGCATCCAGTGGAAAAAATTCAGAATTAATTTTTCAAGTTACATCCATGCAAACAAGTCAGTTGAATGCCAGGACCCACTACTCAAAGTCACAACTTATCTGTTCACAAGCAATGTGAATCAGAACGATGCATGTTGAAACAAAATACAGTAAATTGTAGGACTGTGTCTATTAATCCTTTTTCCTAGTGGGGTAAGGAAGGATGTGGAGAGGCAAAGACAATTTTAACCTGCATTTTGTGCTGGGGCCAACGAGGAATCTAGCCAGACTAAGAAATAGATTCAATCATTCTAGCCAGAGGTTCGCAGAAAAGTTGCAAAAGACCACAGAGTTAAGGTGCAGACTGTGAGCTGTGGTGGTGCTCTGTGTTCTCATGAGAGAAGCTCTTGCCACCTCTGTACGGGCTCCTTGCTGCTGACAACCACGAACAGGTTTGATCCAGGGCACATTAAAAAAATCAGCAGAAAGACACTTTTGCTTTGAATTGGGACCTCGGGAGGGGGAAAAAATGGAACAGAGATGACAAAGCAACAAAACCAGCGATCACACTTTTTTTAACCACTGCCAAAGGAAATGGACTCACAGAGATGGGCCGTCGGAGCTTGCCAGCAGCTCAGACAGGATATGCCTGTAGAAGCTCCTTGCTCCTAAACTCCCACTCAAGTCGCTGGATCACGGCACCTCTCCGGGAGCACAGAAACCCAAACCCTGCGGTTTGCCTGCACCAGCTGTGCCCGCAGGGAGTCACCGGACACCTCCTGCCTTGCCCGGTGTCCCCGGGCAGCCCCAGCCCGCTCCGTACCCGCGGGTAGATGTCCCGCAGGAACCGCTCCCGCGTCACCCCGTCCAGCCGCTCCACTGCCACCGCCGGCTGCTCCCGCCGCTCCATGGCCGGCTGCTCCCGCCGCTCCAGCTCCAGCGCCTCCTGCTCCCGCCGCTCCATGACCACCGGTGACCCGGGTCCGTCCCGCCGCTTCCCCCGGAAAACAGAGCCCGCGCAGGAGCGTTCCGGGCCTCTCCCTCTGACCAAGGGATGGGAGCCCGCGGGTCACAGAATCACGGAATTTTCGGGGTTGGAAGGGACCTGTGGAGATGATTTAGTCCAACCTCCTTGCCAAGGCAGGGTCATCCGGAGCAGGTGGCACAGGAACTCGTCCAGGTGGGTTTTGAATGTCTCCAGAGAGGGGAGACATTCCACAACCTCCCTGGGCAGCCTGTTCCAGGTCTCTGCCACCCTCAGCGTAAGGAAGTTCTTCCTCATGATGAGGCGAAACTTCTTGTGTGTTAGTTTGTGTTTAAGTTTATGGCCATTGCTCCTTGTCCTGTCACTGGGCACCACCGGAAAGTCTGGCACTATCCTCTTGGCACCCACCTTTGAGATATTTATATGCGTTAATGAATCCCCTCTCAGTCTTCTGTAGACTAAACAAGCCCAGCTCACGCATTCTCTCCTCATATGAGAGATGGTCCAGAACCCTCATCGTCTTTGGCACCTCCGCTGGACCCTCTCCAGTAGGTCCTTGTCCCTCTGGTACCGAGGAGCCCAGGACTGGACACCGCACTCCAGCCGTGGTCTCGCTAGGGCCGAGCGGAGGGGAGCCCCCCCCACCTTCTCCGGAGGTGTCCCGCGGTGACGGGGTGACCGCAGCCCCCGCCCCAGCGCGGCCGGAGCCGCCGTTCGCCTCGGGCGGTCCCCGCGCGGCGCCGGAACCGGCGGCGGGCTCGGTTTCCGCGGGGCGGGGCAGGCCCAGGATGGCGCTGCGCTGGGCGGCCCCGGGCCGTGTCCGCTGGCTGGCGCGGGCACTGGCGGGCCCCGCTCGGCTCCTGCCGCCCGCCGCCGCCACGGGCCCACCGGGGCCCGGCCGGCTCCCCCCGCGCTGGTCCAGCGCCCGGTTCGCCAGCACCGCCGGGCCCGGCCCCGGCCCCGGCCCCGAGGGCCCGCAGCGGCGCGTTGTGGTGGTGAGGATCACCAGCCCCTTCGCCTGGCTCCGCACCCGCTTCTACTACCTGCTCATCCGCCTCTACTTCGATCAGGAGTTCAGCGTCGAGGAGTTCACGCGGGGGGCCAAACAGGTGAGCGGGGCCCCGGGAGGGCAGAGCGGCCGGCCTGGGGGGAAGGGACCCGCTGAGCCTCCCCGGGGCCTGGCGGTGCCCGCGTTTTGTTTCAAGGAATCACGGAATCCCTTAGGTTGGAAAAGAGCTCTGAGATCATCACAGAATGGGTCAGGGTGGAAGGACCACAGTGGATCATCTCGTCCAACCTCACTCCTCTTGCAGGGTCATCCCAGAGCACCTTGCTCAGAATTGCGTCCAGACGGTCCTTAAATATCCCCAATGAGGGAAACTCCACAACCTCTCCTGGCAGCCTGTTCCAGTGCTCAGTCACCTGTACAGTAAAGAAGTTCTTCCTCATGTTCAGGTGGAACTTCTGGGCATCAGTTTCTGCCTGTTGCCTCTTGTCCTATTGCTTGGCACCACCAAGAAGAGCCTGGAACCATCCTCTTGGCACCTCCCTTTAGATATTTATACACATTAATGAGGTCCCCTCTCGGTCAGCTCTTCACGAGGCTGAACAGGCCCAGTTCCATCAGCCTTTCCTTGTAAGAGATTCTAGAGTCCCTCAGTCATCCTCGCTGTTGGACCCACTCCAGGGGCTCCATGTCTCTCTTGTACATTGAATCCAACCTGTGACCGATCACAACTTTGTCAACTAGGCCACGGCACCAACTGCCACATCCAGTCTTTCCCTGAACACCCCCAGGGACGATGACTCCACCACCTCCCTGGGCAGCCCATTCCAATGTTTAACAACCCTTTATGTGAAGAAGTTTCTCCTGATGTCAACCTGATGTCATGCGTGGATATTGTAGTACCCGTGTGCTCTGAAATGTAAAATACATGGAGTTCCCCACTGCTGGCTCCAAGCACCACATTTAGGGGGGGAGTGATATAAGCTGAGATGTGCTTTTCTGTAGGAATTTCTTGTTTTCTTTTCCCAGATTCCACAATTAAAATGAGCTGGTTTAGCAATTCCCCAAAATAGCATGAAGGAAGATGCTTCCAAACATTACAGAGACTTTAAGGGGAAATGTATATCAGCAGGTTTTCCTGAAATGATAAAGCTTAGGGAGGCACAGAGCTGGCGTATATGCTTGTTTCTCCAAATTTTGAACCAAGTAAGCTTTGTCAACAGAATGTGTCCAAGAGGTAATGATCTCAAAGCTCATCATGTAAAAATGACAGTTATCTGCTGTGAAACTTCCAGTTTTTATATTTACTTTGAACAAAAAAAACCAAGCTCAAAACAACACATAATGTTAAAATGATTAATATCAATTCAAGAGAGAAAAAAAGTCACAACCTGTGCCAAATTATTTGCCATGTGTGCAGAACTCCCTGTTTTATCTTGTCCTGGTTTTTTTGGTTTGTTTTTACTTGCTGTAGAGTCCTAAACATAACGTCCTTTACAAGACCACTAATTGAATATGTAGAGATGTTATTATATGTAAATATACCTGCAAAATTGAGGGGGAAAAAGGGGGTTTGCTTCCTGAAGTTTAGACACTAAACCAGATTTCTAAAGAAAATTTCTAAATTGAAGCTTCAGTTTTGACTGAAACCTGGAGATGAGTTGGAAAAGAGGACATGGGAACAAAATATTTACAGGGAAAGACACAGACTGTTTGAATTATCAAAAAGAGTGAAAACAAGATACCGATACAGAGTACTGCAATGCTGTTTTTGTTTTAGTAAGCCATGCATTCCGTTACCTAATATGAAAAGATTTGATGCTTTAAATGAGAGATTGAAAAGAAACCTTATGATTTTGTCTGTTCATGAAATCACTTTTTTAATGCTGAAGGGCTTACATTTCAATGGTCATACCCTCTGCAGATACTGAAATCTTAAATCATGGAATATTTGGGTACCTTGTCATGTAATGATGGATTAGTCTGAAAAACAAGCCAACCTAGTGTTACTTGTTCATGTATATACTTTTTTTTTTGGTAGGCCTTTTCTGTTGTTTCAAAGCTGCTGTCTCAGCGTAAACTTGACCTGCTGGATGAACTTGTCTCACCAGAGGTAAGTGCTTTCCATCTCCTATTCTAGCAACTGATTTTCCATTGTGAAGTAACATGCATTTGACCTGTCAATATCTATAAGTACTGCCAGTGGTTTAATTAGGGAAAACAGGCCAATGGTTTGTCCTGCAGCTTTTTTTATGTTTAATTTCACGGCATGAAACTTAATTTAAATTTACTGTATTTAAAGTACATTTTGGCCATTGAGCATAAGGACCAAATGCCAAAAAGATTGCTAGTGTACCAGGAAGGATTGCAAGGCAGCAGGTTCTGGATGGCAGGCAGAATTGTGAGTCTCCAGGTGTAGGCAGGCAGCTGAAGCTTCTGTGCACCAGAATTCAGATGAAGAAAGGAAGGGGTTTGTGCTCATCCCTGCTGCACTGATGTGTTCCCACCCCCACACAGATCATACAGCCAATTACTGGTTTTGGCTGAAAGGCATCAGTCTTGTGTCATGGTGTCAGGGGTATGACTGACCTGGGTAAATATCAGTGCTGTGTTTTCTGTGTTTTTATGAATTTTTAATTGCTGAAGTTGTCTTGGCCTTCCCAGGGCATGGAGGTGGCAGATGCATCAGAGTGAAGTGGAGGAGATACTCCAGGTCTCTGTCTGCCGTGTTACAGGATGTCAGCGTGGCCTGCCCTATTGCCACCCATGCCTTTGCAGCAAAAACTCTGGTGCTGTTCTAGTGCATCCCCTCTGAACAATCTTGCCTCCTCTCTCTGAACAGAGATAGCAATAAAATGTGAGTTTGTTTCTTGCTGTTGTTTTCAAAGAGCATCTCCTCTGCTTCCTCTTGAAAGAACTCCCTCTGGTCATCTTAAATTTTTCAGATTTACCTTGATCCAGAGACCTCATGTAACCTGATGATGTAGCAGATGAGGCTGTGATACCACGCTACTTCATTGTTTCTTTGACCAATGAATTTTGTATCTGAAAAATGTACTAGAAACCAATATCTTCTAGTGAAGATTGCCTCTTGCTTCTGTGTAGCCTCTGTACTTGTTTGTTGTTCAGAAATGGCAAATCAAGTTAGGGTAAAAGCTGAATATTATTGAAAACTACATGCTGCACAACTTCATTATTTCTTGTGACTTGACTTTCTCATGTGGTGTTTGAGGTGATGCCTCTGTGCAGTTCGTACACCACACCATTTTTCTACTTAGCACAGCAGTGTAGGTTGTAGTACACTCAGATACTGTGAATGTGAATGTGGAATGGAACTTAATTCCCAGAGCAATGATTTTGCAGTCTTTTCTGTTTTGCAAGTGTTTAAACTTTTTTTTGAAGGCAATGTAGATCACCAAATGGCAAAGATAAACTTATTGGTAATGAAACTGATTTTCAAAGAAATTTGTGAAAGATAACTAAGAAATAATTGAACCAAAAGCTTAGGAACCTACACATAGCGAGAAATCATCAGAGAGAAGGCAGAGCATGTGACTGGAAGCTTAACTGGTGTTTTCTAGGGTTATGTGCCTTGCAATGCAGCTAATGTTTTGACGGTACCTTTTCTAAGCATTTTTTAAGATATTTGGTTATCATTGGTTTTCAGCAGTAAATGGATCTTCTTCAATGCTGCTGAATGAGGGTTAGGAGTGCCCAGACCTCCCAGTGCTTTTCACTTCCGCTGTCGTATATGTTGCACAAATATTTTAGCAATACAGCTCATTTTATTAACTGCAGTAGAAAAAAGATTGTTACTTCCATTTCCTAATGAAAAACTAAGTGACAGTTTTTCTGAATTTAGGTACTTCAGGTGCTGAAGGAAAAGATTTCTTTGCTCCCTGACAGCCACAGGGATGCTTTAGCAGCTGACATTGATTCAATCATGTACACAACAGAAGGAGATGTTCGCATTTACTATGATGATGATGGTATGTTTAGAATCCTAAAACATTTCAGCAATGAGCAGTTTTATTTCCTGCTGTTCCACTAAGCAGGTGTTTTCCGTACAAATGTGTTTCCCTTTCCTTGTTTTTCTGTTTGTAGCTCATCTGTATGTAATTTCTTGATTTCCTTTTAAACCAGAAACAAGAGTTCATTGTTAATATGTCATGGTACTGTTTTGACTTCTGTTTAGGTTTTGCTTATTCCTCTTCTTTTGTACAGAGTTTTATGTTATTAGTCCTCAGCAATCTGAAACTACTCAAAAACAATTATTCTGCTATATGCTGAAAGCTGTTTGCTTCAACAACGAAAATACATCCTCCAAGAAGAATAATGAAGGCTGGATAATGAAATCAACTTTGCTGTTCTAGTCTTTTTTTCATATAATATATTTTGTTCTACGGCTCCCTGACTGTTTTTATTAAGCTAGTGATGAGCTCAAACAAGTTTTTTTTTTTGGTTGGATACCAACATTTAGTGTTCTGTTCCTTATCAGACACAACTGAGATTATTTGTATTCCATGGGTCTTCCATTGAGCACTTCAAGTTGAAATCAAAAGTCTGACCCAGTGAGCTTTTTTACTAATTTAGGAGATAGACATTATTATTTTCCTCTTAGATTGTTCCTGAGTTTGTACTACTCTATGTACTTTTGTCATATCAGTAGTTAGTTCTGGACCTTGTGGGAACCAGCTTTTTGTCATACAATTTCATAATATACAATGTCACACCACACTCATGCTAAAATACATACTTTTCTACTGAGTATTTTTATTGTTGCCAAACATCATGAATATGGCACTAAATAGCTTTATCACTTATTATTCTATCCTATATTCTTTATGGCTGAAGTCAGCTGCCCTTCTAGAGTCTCACTAGCATATATGCTAGGTAGCAAATAAGAGTATTTGACCAATGAGAAACATGAGATCTAACTCGTGCTTTGATTTCTTTCCAACAGGAAGAAAGTTTGTTAGCATCCTAATGTGTTTCTGGTATCTGAATGGTGCTAATCTACCTGATGAAGTACCAGGTGGAGCCAAAGTTTTTCAGATTGTGTTCGGAGATGAAAGCACAAAAGAAAAAAAACATCTTTTAACAGCAAACTATGAGTAAGTTGACTTGTCCTTTTTCTTCCCCATGTACATGTGCTGGCTGTGTGGGAAGCAGTTGGGGAACTGTAGGCATTCACACTGTGCCAGTGCAGAACCTGGTGTGTTTTAATTTACCTTGATTCTAAAGTAAGTTCGTTCTCATCCAGCTTTCCAGTTTTGATTTTAGGGCCAAATTTTTTGAATACCCCTCAAAGTCATTATGTTATTACCTTGTTTCTGAGTTGACATTAATGGGAACTCTTTCTCTATCAGGAAGAGAAGTGTTTGGAGCATTGAGTGAGGTTTCTGATCCTTTCCTATAATGCTCCTGCAGCTTTCAGGAAATAGGCCAGTTCTCGTTTTGCATTTCTTGTAGCACAGCTAACAGCAGTGCAGTCAAGCCAAGCAGTAAAGTGTAGTGCTGTCGACTTGTCACTTCCCCACAGAAGTCAGAACTGCAATTAGCTGAAAAAGTAGCTCATGAAAGAGGAAATTATTTAGCCAAATGCTTTCTGCAGAAAGGGAGAACAAAGGAAGCATCATCTGGTATTCAACTAATTCATGCCACTGATCCAAGCCTTCAAAGCACACATTAGGTAGATGGATTTTTCACAGGAATGCTTGTAAGTAGTGTCTGTGTTGGTGTACTGATGTCAGAGCAGTGCAGAAAATATGTGCACAGTTGGCAAAATGTACTGAAAATAAGATTCTCAGAAGTTGGGAGAAGTGACGATTTTTGTGGGAGAAATGCAATATGGTCAATGATTTACTCCCACATTTGAAATTGAAAGTATGGGGTCTACTTGATGAGGAGCTCTGAAGCGAAGGTAACACTCATGAGGACACCAAAGCTTTTTGCCTGAATGGATTTTTGTGGATCCATCTCTTAGCTGAATTCAGCATCTTCCTTAGTTAGAGGCTTCTGAGGTTCCATTAACCTTAAGAGCCTTCCCTTAAAGCCTAAATATCTTCCCAATCCCCAGCTGAGAGATATTTGCAAGTATGTGTTCCTTAACCTAAACACAAATGGGCAGAGACACTACAGGCCTTGGAAGCCCAGTGTTAAGTATTTGGGTGTCTGAAGAAGACAGTTTGCTGGAGTGGATTTGCATGTAATTGCAAAGCAATGATGTTATACTGCTCTTGTCTGTGATATGCAGGTTATTTAGGAGCATGAATATTCAGCTTGAAGTTTAGGCTTATCTTTAGATGACAAGCAGTCAAAGCTGACATGCTCAGAGAAGAAGTCATTAATGACTACAAAAGGCAGAAGACGACTTTAAAAATAGGAGTGGATATTTTAATTTTCTTTTTGACAACTGTGGAGTTTTCTTTCAGGGAGATTCAGCGCTACTGTTAGCTTGATCTTTGATGTAGTTCTCAAAATACATTACTTTTTAGAGTATAGTTCGGTAAAAATGAAAATTTTCAAGTAGAATGTGTAGCATGTGATTTCCCTTCTCAATGCAATTACCATCCCATTAAATGAAACCCTTTATTGACAGATGAAGATCTGCCACAAACCTTCATTCATAGTTAGCGCTGTGAAAACCCTGGATATCTGGGTCTCTACTGGGCTGATCCTGTATGTGGGATCTGAACAAAAACACTCTGAAGTCAGTGATTTTGTTTCTTATCATAGAAATAATTTTAATCTTCCATTTTGGGGCATGAGGACTAGAGTCTAAGTAGCTGTTACAGGAATAACTCTGAAGTAAAATCTTTTGTCACGATTTCTTGTTATATTAGTAGCTCTATAAGATTAGTAAGTTTTAACAGCCCTTCACTTACTATCTTTCCTTTTCCAGGTTCCAAAGAGAATTTACAGAAGGAGCAAAACCAGACTGGACAATTACACGGATTGAACATCCAAGGCTATTAGAATAAATGCCTTCTACAGCCTTTTTATGTACCATTGTAAATGTTCTGATGTAACAAATATCAGGGGGGTTTGGGTCTCTCTTTTTTCCTTTCTTGCCCTTTCCTCCAAAAGAGAGATGAATTTTGTATGTTTGATTCTCAAAAATTTTTTCTGAAACATTCATTGTGCTGCAGTATTCCAATAAAGCCTTTTCCCTGGAACAGGCTAGTACAAATTTAATTGGCTCCAATGCTCATCCAAGACATTTAGGCAGAGCAGTTTCACCCTGACAGGTGTTATGGGTATGTTGACTTACATTCTGAGAAGAGATGGTACTGTTTGAAGATAAACAATGCTTTAATGGCTGATGGCCCTTCTGAGTTACTTTTCTATGTTTCTTTTTTCCCTTAGGGACTGTACAATATATAACTGAATAATATGCAAGATGAAATAGAGGTAGATGGACTTCTTAGATTGTCTAGCCTCAGCAGTTCAATTTGAGGTAATCTTGCTTTTGAATATGTTTTGAGATTAAGAAAGTTAGAGCCATTGCCAGTATTTGCTACAGGATTGGAGTAAAAAAAAAAGCTTCTAGCATTGCACTGGGAAAATGCAACCAAGAGATATGTGTGTTTTGAAAAATTAAAAAAATACCCATTCCTTTCAATTCAATAACATATAGGCAATTCCAAGTTTAGAGGTTTGTGAAAGAAAAATCAGTTAAACCCATGAATTTAAAAGAGGACCTGACAGTTAAGTTCAATGAAGTCCTCTGTCTGAAATGTGTGTTAAAGAAATGAACAAATCCTTAAAATTAGATGTTGCAACTGAACAACTCAGTTTATCTCTGGTTTCTGGAACACGAGAATCCTGGTGTAAGTGGCTTGAGGCTTTTTTATGCAAATCAACAGGAGAGCATCATAACAGGTTTCTTCATCCCTTATATCAACTTCAAATATAAAACTAACTTTCTACACAGGCATGCTGTAGACATTAATGTAGTGTTTTGAAAGTATAAAGTATAATTACTGTGATTCACAGTAGTTGTGATTGAAAGGTATAAATTAAATTTTCCATAGTGCAGCTCTTTTGATCCAATGATTTAATGAGGGGAACATTTAAATCTTATAAAAAAGTTTTTAATGTCAAATCTTGGAAAAATAATTATGCTACTTTGTTCTGCCTTAGCAGCAGCAGCCTGGCCTTATAATGCAGAATTTGTGATTTGTCCTCTGGACAAAGTTCACTGATGACAGAGTGCCTTGTCCTCAGGGGAGGAGCAGAATTCTGTATATATAGCCACTGTGTATGCAGTCAGCCTGGAAAAGTTTGAGACAAAGCAAAAAATGTTTATTATTCTGTGGGCCATTTGCTCAATGGTGGGATGTCCAGTTTGGCCACTGAATGATGTGCTGCAAGAAGCTGCAATCAGATTTATTTGAGTCTGTAACAGACCCAAATAACAAGTAACAAGAGACAAAGCAGAACACTAGTGAAGTGTGGGGATGCACTTCTGAAAGAAGTCATTATGATGGAGCAAAGTAAGAAAAAAGCCACTGAAGCCGTCTTTATATTCAGGAGTGTTTGCTTTCATGTTTAAATAATATAGATCTATTCAGAAATACTGGTATATCTTAGATTTTAATTCAGGTTACTTTATTAGTATCTTTTTGTGTGATTGGATGTATCAAAATGAGAGTCTGTCATGACTGATGAAGAATTACCCTTTTACTAGTGAGTGCTCCATTTTTGGTTGCAAAGGCAAAGTAGACCCTTCTGTATGACTGATAATGAAATTTTTTTTGTTGTTGTTCACTATAAAATTGTGACTTGATTCAAACATGCTCCAAGTTGATAACACAGTTTTGCTGCAAAAGATGTAATTGAAAATTTACATGCACTCCTTTATTCTTTTGAAGTTGTGTATCTTGTGCATCGGGGCCAGAGGGGGCAGCAGTTGGATGTTTGTGGGTTTTTCCACCTCTAAGCTTCATCTAAAAAATCGTCCTGGAGACTGCAAATCTCCATCAGATGCAGAACTCCATGTGGCCTTATTGCACCGCAAATGAATCGGAAAGGCACATAAATTACTAAGCTTACTGTATTGGAAAGTGGTCTTCTCCCACAGTGAATAAAACTGGTGTAATCAAACTGAATTTATAGTCTAATACTGGTTTCAGAAGAAAAAACACCACCATCACTCCACCCCAAAAAACCACCACGTACTACCCCAAACCCAACTTGTAAGTAACAGACAAATGTACAGCTTGGAGGACATTTAAGTTTATAGAAAGGTTTGACTCCTTTTATCCTGCCATCCATAAATTCTCTGTCATAAGTGTGATCTTCATAGCAATTAATCAGACTGATGTGAATGTCCCTAAAGGGCTATTGTCATCTTATGGCATCCATGTTTTCTCTCATGGAAGTACTTTTCTTCTGTGTCGTCTGTTCAGGCAAAAAGGGGAACTTCTGGTTTCTATGTTGCCATCCGAAGGTAGCAATAAAAAATGTATTTAGTTTCTTCAAGTGAATGTATTTCTGTATGCTGTCAAGGCTGTCCCAAATTCCTATGGCAAAAAGGATGAATAAAAGGTTAAGTTTCCTTCATCTCAGTCTAGACAAAGATAGAGAGAATATTGTCTTGTAATTTTGGGATTTCCAGTCCTGCCTTTCCAACACTTTACTCTAAAAATCATAATGATAACTTTAATGTTCAGGATTATAAAAATGAACTAAAGGAATTGTTTCATTAGAAACTTAGAGCAACAAGGCTGGTAAAGGGACTTGAGCACAAGTCCTATGAGGAGAGGCTGAGGGAGCTGGGGTTGTTTAGTCTGGAGAAGAGAAGGCTTAGAGGCGACCTCATCACTCTCTTCAACTACCTGAAGGGAGGTTATAGCCAGGCGGGGGTTGGTCTCTTCTCCCGGGCAACCAACAATAGGACAAGGGGACATGGGCTCAAGCTCTGCCAGGGGAGGTTTAGGTTAGATGTTAGGAAGAAATTCTTTACAGAGAGGGTTATCAGGCATTGGAACGGCCTACCCAGAGAGGTGGTGGATTCACCATCCCTGGAGGTTTTTAAAAAGAGATTGGACGTGGCCCTTAGTGCCATGATATAGTAATTGGAGTTGGATCAGGGGTTGGACTTGATGATCTTGGAGGTCTCTTCCAACCCTACCTATTCTATGATTCTATGATTCTTCATCATTTGGGAATAATGATGCTCAACAGGGAACAGTAGAATGGTGTGGGGATCCCAGATTTTCCTATTATTTGTCTCAGACATCACCTTGGAAATCACAGTGTGTAAGGATTTATGTGTGCCTGATTTCCCTCTCATCTCATTGCCTGGCTTGCATTTCTGTTGCTTTATGTGGGGGGACAAGTACAATTGTAATTATGGTGTGTAGTCTGTAAATCCCCATACATAACCATCTAAAATATTTGCAGTTTTAGCCTACAAATATCTTCATTCAGACCCCATTAATTCTTGAAAACAGTGTTACCAGGCTTGGTAGTGATTTTTATGGTAAAATTCATATCTATTAGCAACACTGATATTTCTCATTCATTTTACACAGAACTGTGAGGTCACACAAGGTGTCTGGACTGCACTTCAATGGGGGATGGAAATTCAAAGTACCACATTCTTCTCCCCTGTGAGAAATCATGTTTGTTTAGATTCATGTGGAGCTTGGGAAGCCTTAATTTTTTATTTGTTCATCTGAAACTGTGGTCATGTTTAATGATTCCTGACAGCTGCCTAACACAATTTCAATGCATGTGCCTAAATCTTAACAAGCACTAATTAAATCTGGCCAACAAAATCCCCATTAATTTGCACACCCCACTCACCAGTAGATGGCCTTGGCCACAAAGCAATTGTGGCTGGAAAGTGACTGGCATTAATGAGAGTGCTAGCAAGGTAAAAAATAAAATGGTAGAGGCATTGAGTGCTATTTAAATTATTTGGACTTGTCTTACTGAAAAGTCTTGATATTTTTACAGGCTTTCATCCTGAGTCAACGATAGTGTCTTGTGTTCTCTCTGTAGCACCTGCCCATTTTGAAGTGGCAATTTATCAGTGTTCTTAATAGGGGAGGGATTCATTGTATGTGTGAATTCACACAGGCACCTCAGTGCCTGACAGTAGCAAAGCTTATTTTTATATTCATATTTTGAAGTATGTTTATCATGTTGATTGTGGTTCCTTTCTCTCCTGTCCCAGCATTGCCTGATTACTTCAGGGGGCACATTCAACTTTTTACAGGGTTTAAGGTGTGTTCAAGTGTGACCTTACTGTCACTTCAGGTTATATTTAGTAGTAAAAGTTGTGTTTGTCACAGTAGCCATCATCCTCCTTCAAAACTTCACAACTCCTGGGGTTTTTTTTTGTCCTGTGGTTAAACTTGATTTCTGTCCTATGTGTTTCATTGACTGCAGGTGGGGGCCTTTTGAGATTCCTTGCAGGCTGTACTCACACGATGGCTCACAGCTTAAAATAAGATGGGATACAAGTGTGTGTAGTGGGAAGTGTTTCTAGTTTCATTCTTCCCTCCTACATGGGTGTGATAGTTGATCTTTAAGCACTGGACCATGTGTGGCCACAGGAAGAGGTATTTAGCGGTTAAAGAAGAAAGCATTGGCTACACAGCTGTGCTTTTGTTCTTCTAAGGGAAAGGCAGCTGGGGCAAATGGAGTTGCACAGTGAGTCATAGGGGTTCCCCTCCTTGTCTTTTATCTTCATTTTCCATTGCTAATGTACTAGTCTTTTGGATTTTTACAGTCCTGCCATTTTGAATGGAGGTTAAGTAAGTCACTATGTGAATCTATGGCACTGTTGAAAACACACCTGCTTTCTCTCAGGTGTATTTTGTCTGATTTCAGTGATGTGTCCTTTTCCTAAAATATGGTTCTCCTATTGAAGTTGATAGGGAAACTGTCATGCATTTTAATGGGAGCAGACTGCAACTTTTTTGCTGCCTTTGAAGTTACTCCATCAGAAATAGAGGGAAGCTAAAATTAGACGTGCTGTAGCTTCTTGAGAGCCATTTCATCCCTCCTGTGGCTGTCACAGAACAAGGCTTTTGATAGTGAGCTTGGTACTGTAGTGCCAAGGGAGGCACTAAGATGGAAAGGAGCAGGACAGCAAAGCAGAGTGCAGGAAGATGGCATTTCACCAAGGATGCAGCCCTTTGCCTTAAGGACATGGGCTGCTTGGAAACAAGTGGTGATGTGGCTTGAATATTCCTCTAAACTATATTTTGCAGATGACAGTAACCTTTTACATAAAACACTCTACTTCTGCTCAGGTTTGTGTATGGGGAAAAAAATCTGAGTTTCCAGGATTAGAGGTGAAGTCCCACCTTAAGTTTTCAGAGATTTCATAGTCTGACTGGGGAGGTGTGGAAGAGGCTGCCTGGGTAAATCAGAGCAACTAACAGGCTGTTTCTGTCTTACACTAATTAGCAGCTGGCACATCCCTAGAAATTGGGAATGAAAAAAGGGGAGGGGGAAATGCCTCGATAATCCCTCTCTTCTGAACTTTCTGGAACCACTTGGCAAGTGCAGCATCCATAATGTTAAGTCCCAGCTGCCAAGTCTGGGAGCAGAAGTTTCAGTGGTGCAATTAGATTAAGTGGGTACCTTGTTACAGCCCAGGATCTGTCAGAACATTGGTTTCTGTGCTTGCTGGGGGTGTTAATGTTGTTTGAGGACCTTCATGTTTCTTATCTGCAGTACAGCCAAACAAGGTCATTACTAGTGATGTTATTTTTTTGTGATGTTTGTTTCGTGAGAACTGATGAATATAAATAATGCTTTGGGGGATATTTTTTATATACTTTCAGAGGGAACAAGATTGAGAGTCTGCAATATAAAGTGACACACAAGCTAGTGAAAATGAATTTTTGTAGTCTAGAATTCATGTCATGCGAGGTGTTGACCACTTAAACTTCCACCCTAATCACACCAGCAGTGATTAGATCTTCACCTAAGTCATGAAGAGGTTTCCTTGGATTGGCAGCTGCCTGAAATCTCTCGTTTTTGTATGCTTGAAATACATATATTATTAAAATCTGTAATGAGCTTAATCATGTACTTTGTCCTTTTTAATTATCAGTGGGGTCATTGTCCCTTAGGTCTACCTCAGGCTCAGCTCAGAATCTTCTGAGCTGTTAGCCTGTTTCCTACTTTTTTGTCATTAGTGTCATTTAGTCACTTTTTTTTTTTTCTGAGATAAGAGGTGCTTTTCATAAGGTAGAACAATAGAGAGATTGCTGATCCTCTGGGTGTAGTGTGCCTTGTTGGTTGGTATAGGAATCCTTTATGGACTTCTGCTGAGGTGTGCTCTCAGAAGGCATTGTTTCTGCTCTTATAATTTAGTCTCTGTGTGATTTCCATCTTTCTGTCCAGCCCTCTGTCTAAGAAAGTAGTAAAACATTGGTACAAGTACTTGGAAAGATGGTAGAATTACCGTGGCTTGAATTGTAAACTATTAGATAGTGTATCTACTTAAAAGTTTCAGAAGCAAATCTACAGATCATATGTTGAGTCTGAATTTGTATCACCTGCATTAAAACAGTAGTTATAAGAAAATCTTAGGCAGCATGATTTCTTCTGTGAGTAAGGGAGGGCTTTTTCTGTTGTTCACGTTGTTCTGTGGTGGTTTTGTTTGTATTTTGGTTTTTTATTCTATCTTAAACACCAGCAGTTAGTCAAAGATAAAGAAAGTGTTCCATTGCTAAGAGATAGGATAGACATCTAAGGAAAAAGTGGGTTCTTTATCTGAGTGGTCATTTTTGCATATTTCGTGTTCTACTTTCAGATTCTGTGTTGGAAAGAAGTGGGTTTTTTAATGCCAAATTGGTAATGTTTGCTGACTTTCTTTGCTGCAGGGGCTGTTGTTTCCTGATGGAATCATTTGCATGTATTTTGCCCAGTTTTCTGCCAGTACAGCTCGTGCTGCAGGGTCTCCTGCAGTGTACAATTTAATCTCTTGCTTTCATTTCACTGAAGCATATAGGTTTCAGCAGGGGTAGCTGGGTGAAGGTTAGTGCCTGCATTATACTGGAGATCTGCTTAAGTGATCTAATGGCTCCTTCTGGCAAACTCTGTGAAATTATAATAGCAGAAGTAGGGAGAAGAAGGGGAT